TAGATCATTCTTCAACCGGAACTGTTTGAAAAAGGAAAAAATACACAAATTCTATTCTTTGAAAACGTCAGCCACGTCAGCCACATACGTACATCAGAGAAATTACTAATATCTCCTTAAGTGGCAAACATATGATATTTATTTCCTTTTTTGATAATCATTCGATTAAAATTTGACAAAAAAAAATTTGTGTTACAAGTTACAAGATAAAAAAAAGATTTTTTCTATCAACTGAAAAAGTAATCTCTCTTAGATAAGCAAATAAATAGCATCCATTGTTTCGAAGTTAGTGATAAAAATTATATCGAATTGTTGACATAAAACGAAGCGAAGTAACAAACGATTTTATATCAAGCTTTTATATATTCTTAAATTTATATCTTCTATTCTAATATATATATATATATGTACATATATACATATATATATATTTTGATAATATTTGATATATGACAGATGTCTAAACCAAATCAAAACTAGTTTTTTGGTAATTTTTTTTATCGATCACTTGTTTACTCGTGAATAATTTTTTTCGATTTTTTTTTTTTTTTATTTTTATTATTTTATAGCAGTAAATTATTTTCAACAATGTCTGTTTCGTCAATTGAAGAAAAACCAAACCGATTAATTGGATTTATGGCAGGTGTGGCTTCTGGAGTTACCAAACTCCTTGTGGGACACCCTTTTGGTAAGAAAATCTTATATAATATTTGAAGATATGATTAAATGAATAAATAACTTTTAATTTTAAATATTAAAAAATGTACTTTTAATAATAATAAAAAAAAAGATACAATCAAAGTTCGTATGCAGACATCAGAAATAAATATAAGATTTGATGGAACAATTCAATGCCTGCGGCAAACAATTCGGATGGTAATTATCATTATTAATTTCAAACCAATTTATAAAAAAAAATTGTTATTTCTATTCAGGAATTTAATTATGTTTAGGAAGGATTTCGTGCCTTATATAAAGGTTCGAAAATAGTTTATGATGGATGACATTATCTTTGTCGCAAATTCATATATGTATTGATATTTAATTGTTCAATGGAATAGGAGCAACTCCGCCGCTCGTTGGATGGGGCATCTTGGATTCTGTGATGTAAGAGAAAATTACAG